CTTTTAAGAGCCCAGAGGCTGTTCTCTGTTGAGCCTCTGGAAGAAGCTTTTGCCGAACTCGTAAGTGCTGATCATGATGGCACAGGAGGGGGCAGCCTTAATGATCCTTGGGAGAAAGCCTGCAATGGGGGAGGGGGAGTCAGGGTCTGAGGTCAGGGCCCAAGAGGGCCCCAATCCTTCCTGAGCGGACAGACGGATGCTCACCTGCGAAGAGCCCCCTGGTGCCCGACTCAGCCCGGATCCGCCGCAGCAACAGCCACGTGGAGTCGGCGCGTGGGGGGGTCACTGTGGGTGCAAGGCGTGGCCCGGGTGAGACCCCACTTGGGCCCCCATCCGCCCAGCCCCACACCAGCCAGAACCCTCACCTCTCACAGCCTCCAGAGCTCCCAGCGCGACCTGGCGCTGAGTCTTCACCACGTCGAAGGGCAGAGTCAGGACGGCCGCCACCTGGTGTGGGGCGGAGAGCGCTGGTCCCCAGTCCCGGGGCCCCCAGCCCTCGCGTCTAGCCAGGCTCTGCCAGCCTTGGCTAGGGCTTCTCGAGGCAAGGCGAGCTTGCTCCTCGACAGGCAGCTACACGAGCACCTCCCACAACCCTCAGGCCTCCCAAGGCCACATCCACTGGCCTCGCTCCCGGCCTGATCAACTCACCGTCCCGGAGATGCCTCCAGCCACAAAGCTGATGCCCACGGATGTCTGGTCTTTTGGCCTGAGCCCGCTCAGCCAGCTCTTCACCAGTTCGTAGTTGAACCAGTACAGGGCTTGCGGACATACGGGTACACTCGTCAGAGTTGGGGAGGGCAGTGGGGTGGCCCCAAACCGCCCACTTTCCACTGCTGCGCGATGTGACAACCGTCCCTCCCGAGAATGAGGACTGCCTGTGGCGTGCCAGTTTCTGTAACAAGCCCTCTGCGGGGATTTTCTCTTGGAAACCTGGGTGACTACCCCGCCCGCTGGGCCCATTTCACAGATGAGATGTTCAAGACCCAGAAAGTGACTTCAAAGTCAGTAACAGCAAAACTGGGACTTAACTGTAGACCTCCTGTATGTCATCCAGAGGCTCCCTTACCCCACCCCCTGCATCCGTGATTCCTACCTGAAAAGGGCACGTCCCGAAGGGCAGTGGGGCCCCAGCCCAGCCACAGTGAGCGCCAGCCACCCTGAGCCATGGCAGCTCGGACACAGGATCCCAGCTCCCGGTAGGACACATGCTGAGCCTGCAGCTTTGTCCGCACCAGCTCCAAGGGGCTGATCACAGTCACGGTGCCCACTAGGGGGAATAGCGGGGAGGGATCAGCTCACAGGGCCCAACAGCCGCCTTTCCCAGGATCTGGGGGCCCAAGAGATCGCTCTACCCCTAAGCTGCCAGACACTGGAGCTGGAAGCCAGGACTGGGCTCCAGCAGAGCCGGGGCTCAGAGAGAGATCAAGGGCCCAGGGCTGTGCTCACAGCGGGCTAGTGCGCCAGCCACCATGGGTGCGTAGAGGTCAGAAGTCAGGGCCCAACCACAAAGGAAGGTCTTGAGTTGGTCATACGCGGTGAAGTAGATGGCAGTGGCCGGCACAGTCATGACCCTGGGAGTGTGAAGAGACGTTAGCCGGGACTCCCAAAGGCTCCCAACCTCCCAGGCACCCCCTGCCCCTGCCACCCGACCGGAGAGTAAAGGATCAGAGGAGTAGAACAAGGAAAAGCAATGTGTGGGACTGAGAGACTCACAAGGTGGCTGGGAGGCCGCTCCACAGGGTCCTGGTGCCCTCGTGTCTCACAATCTTCACGAAGGCGTCCTGGCCAAGCGGACGCCCGTCCAGGAGGAGGAAGGAGGAATGTGAATAAGCTCTGGGATGAGGCTCACCCTGACTCGGCCCTAGCCTGATGCCCTCATCTCTGCCTACAGCCCTGGGTCCTGCTGAGAGGTAGGAGCCCCGCAGGCCGGCACACACGCAATCCCGCATTTAGCTCCAAGCGGACTCCCGCTCACCCTTCAAAACCGCAGAGAGGCACCACCTCCTCAGGGAAGCCTTTCCCAAGCTGACCCGGCCACTGTTACTTGCTTTGCATCACCCCCTCCTCCCTGGGTCTGCAGCCCGACCAACGTGAATCCCCCTGGAGCGCCTAGAGCCCCAGGCGGGGGCACAGCCACTCCTCACCACGGTGCCGGTGAAGCGGGTGGGGTCCTGGAACCAGGTGGCGCAGCGGGCGCTGTTCGGGCACAGGTAGAGGGGCTCCAGGACCCCACTGCAGTACAGGAGACACTTCCCTGTGGGTTGCAGAGAGGAGGGCACTGGGGAAGGGGAGGGGGCATTAGGAGGACAGTGCCCTGGAACCCTGCAGGGAAGGGGGTGAGCCCCATCCCTAGGGGGGCCAGCAGAGGCCGTGGTCCCTGGGTGGACATTCTTGTTTAGGACACAGGGCTCGCTGATAGGACCTGGAAGTGTGTGGCAGGACTGTGGAGCCCTCAGGTCCCCTAGGGAGACTGGGCCACTCCCTTCCCTGGACCTTCACAAGCTCCCTGTGGCTTGGGGAACTCACATTTGGTGTAGGGGAGGCTCCAGAGTCTGGAGGGAGGCATCAGCTCTAAAATACAAGGCAGTTCCTTAAATCAGGAGAGCCCCGACCTGTCCCGGGGACCCCACCTCAGGAAGATGTTTTGCCCAGGCACCACCCCATACGGGCTCCAGGGTTCAGGGCTGGGCACTCACCGCTGGCCGCCGAGGGGCGCTGAGACTGCAGGCGCACTTTCACCACGTCCAGGGGTGTCACTGGAGGAGGAGGGCAGGTCTGAAGGCTCCTTTCGGGACCCCACCCCGACCCCTCCCCCAGGACCAAGTCACCTCCAATCTCTGGTCTGCCCCTGTCCCCACTGCCCCCTCCCCACCTCCCCAGATCTTACTGAAGAGGGAAGTGACTACAGCACCAGTCCCTGAGGCCACCATTTGCTGGAGGGGGCTAATGCCCCCAGGCTCCTGGTCAGCCATCTTGTAGCTTCAATTCTGAAAGACAGTCAACTGGACTCACAAAACAAGATCAGTGGGAGGGGGAGACAAAAGGCAGGGCCCTTTGGGATTTGACCCAGCCCTCTACCCGAATCCACTCACTGAATACGAACTCAAACGATCCTCACAATTACCTTCTACTTTTGTAATTGTTTTTTTATTTGGGAGACAGAGATAGCACCAGCGGGGAGGAAAGGGAGAAGCAGGATCCCCGCTGAACAGAGAGCCCAACCGAGGCTCCATCCCAGGACCCTGGAATCATGACCTCAGCTGAAGGCAGAATGCAGACGCTTAACCGACTGAGCCATCCAGGAACCCTTACAATTACCTTTTAAAGCAATTTTTGTCAGCTCTACTCTACCAGTGGAAAAACAGATTCAGAAGGGTGACATGACCTGAACAAGGTCACTCTGAGAGTAGTGAGGAAGAAAGCTTGGGTAGTTACTCATTGATTAAGGAGCAATAACGGCCCACTGCCATTCCCTCATCTGAGCAACACGGAACTACTGCGCACCCTCATCGAGGCAGGCGCTCTGTTTGGCCCGGGGGACCCAAAGATCAGGACGCCAGAGCCATCCCCCTAAGCCCCCCACTCCCGAGGCGGGCTCTGCTGTGCCCCGAGTCACCGGGCGTGGAAGGTGGGGCCGAGCAATAGGGGAAACGTGTAAACAAATCTTTTGGCCGCGAAAGGACCGTCCGCTCTCGGGACTGGAGGCTGGGTTCCCGGCCCTCCCTCCCTCACCCTCCTCCCGAGACCGGAAGGGCCAGTACCCCAGGCCTGGATAGAAAGGGCAATCTCTCTGCTCTCTCCCCAAGACAGAGACCGGGGTTCGGCCGAGAGGGCAGAAAGTAGGTTTCTCCCTCGGAGAAACTCTGGCCCCGCGCGCAGGGGACGCCCGATGGGGCGGACTAGGTCGGCCTGACGGCTCGCGACTCCGGGCCCCCAGACCCGCGCCGGCTCAGGTTCCCCGGGACCTCCGGAGGCCCACCTCCGCCCCCGTCCCCAGCCGGGCCCGCAACCCAGGTCCAGCTCCGCCCACCTGACTCCAGGCCGGTGCTTGCGCTGCGCAGCTCCCGGAGCCCGGCGGGCCCATGACGGCTCCGCGGCCGGTTTACGGTCCGCGCGCGCTCGCCCCGCACCAAGGCTGTCTCCGAAAGCACCCGAGCCCGCCCCGCCCCCGGACCGCGCCGCGAGGCTCCGCCCTCCGCCGGCCGACCAGCTACATGCCCGGAGTGCCGCCGGCCCCGCCCACCAGCAACCTCTCCGGGACCAGCCGCTGCGCCGCGGGTGCCCGGCCGGGCCAGCGCCCCAAGGTCGCGGGTCTCCACGTCACGCGTGACCGGCGGCAGCACCGCACTTAACACTGTATTCTCACAAACTCCATCCCACCAGTACCCCGGCCGAGCGTTGCCCGCGGGAGTCCCAGAGCTCCCCCTAACTTGCCAGGCTAGCGCGGGTAACGCGCTCTCCCGCTCTTCCTCAGTGTCCTCATCTGCCGGGAGGCAGGTATTGGAATCAATTCTTCCAAGGCCACGGAGATATCAGATAATAATGACAAACATTTACCCGCCGGGTTCCCTGCTGAGGTTTTACGACTTAATGGCGACCTGCCAAACAGGAATCAGCATAATCCCCATTTTACGGATAATCGACTGAGGCGCAGCTCCAAAACCACTTGGCACACCTCTGGGTACCGTGCGCCCGTGGGCGATGGGATCAGACGAGCTGTGACTCGGGCCAGGCAGGCTGGACAGGGAAAAGATTGGCCCGGGAGCCAGGAAACCCGGGGTCAGCCGGACTCAATTTAGGCTTAGTCCTCCCACCGTGTGCCCTGGAGCAAGTTACACCACCACTCTGGGACTCGGGTTCCTCCTCCTTCGCACAGTGAGAGGATTGAGTAGGGAAGAAGGGGACTGACATTTTTGCGGTGGTTACTCTCACAACGTTACTTCTTCCAAACCCCCAAACTTTTAGAAGTATATTATCATTTGGCCCCTTTTTACAGAAGATGAAACTGGGGCTCGAAGTTTAAGTGCCCGGAATTCGAACCTTGCAGGTACTTCACCCTGCACGAGGCGGCCTCCCTGGGTGACAGGTGGGCTTAAATCCTGAGCTGATGTCTCTGATCCCGCTTCTCAGGGAAACACATTTGTCTCCCAGGCAAGCCCAGCACCTGAAAGCCCGCCACCCGCCTCGCCTTTAAAACTTTTGTGCGGTTTTAACTATTTGTCCGAACACGGGGTGCGAACCTGCGCCTTTAAGAAGGGCAGACCGTGACTTTGACGTCACCAGCTTCTCGGGCTTAAGGGGCCCAGCCATTCGGCGCCTGCGACGTTAGCACGTGGATTCTAAGGGGCCAACCATCAGCTTTCCCTGAAACTGGCTTTGCGGCTCCGAAAGGCTTGGCAGCGCAAGTTTAGGGGCGGGAAAGTGCAAACTGTAGCCGGTGAACTGGCCGCTGGTCGAAAGGGCTGGACAGAAGGTGCCCTTTGCATTCCCTTCCCCCATCCAATGGAGGTCTGAAATTACACAAAATCATTTTATAAACTGTATGTGAAGGCGAGAACCCAGTTTCTATTACGGTCTTTCACAGCCTCAAAGTTATGGCTTGCCTGAACACGTTCACAGCCCACAGCCGCTCTCCCATTTTACAGAGGAGGAAACTGAGGGCCACGTGTGTAGTGACGCCTCAAGTGTAATGGAACCAAGACTTCTCCCGCGCAATCTCCTATAAATGAGAAAATGGAGGCCTAGGAGGTCAAATCGCACCAAGGTCACTCAAGTGAAAGAGCCAGAATTCAAACCCCCGAAATGCCTGAGTTCCAAGGCTCTCCCACCCACCCCATTCTCAGCCTGGGCTCTCTGCTCCCTGCGGTGATCTGCTCACCTGTGAAGGTTTTATCTACTGGGGCCTCAGGCCTCCAGGCTTCAAGAACTCCAAGAATACAGCCTGTGGGGTGGCAACACCTGCCTGCCTCAGGATTAGAGCACCTGGGAGGCAGGGACCCGGCTGTTTCCTGCAGGAGCCGCTGGACCTCCAGCAAATGTCCTAACCGCCTCTAAGCCTGAGTTTCCCCCTTTACAAAATGAGCTGATGGGGGTAATAATGCACCCACCTCACAGGAAGTATGTGAGGATTTTTTTTTTTTAAGATCTTATTTATTTATTAGAGAGAGAGCGACAGCAGGAACACAAGCAGGGGAGTGGGAGAGGGAGAAGCAGGCTTCCCACTGAGCAGGGAGCCCGATGCGGGGCTCCATCCCAGGACCCCGGGATCATGACCTGAGCCGAAGGCAGAAGCTTAATGACTGAGCCACCCAGGCGCCCCTATTATGTGAGGATTTAATGAGTTAATAGCTGTAAAGTGTTTAGATCCTTGTCTATCATGTGCCAAACACTCAATGACTATCATTATTATTATTGTCATTATTATTATTATTATTACTGATTCCCCCCAACACCACCACCGCCTGACCTGTATCACAGAAAGTTCTGGAAAGGGCCTTTAGAGCAACCAGGTTCTGGTCCTACCTCTGACTCCAAATGCAGGCACAGAGAGTAATAATTCCTCACACCGCTTCCTGCCCAGAGCCAAAATCATACAGCTGCAAATTAGTGGTCAGGAACCAAACCTGGTGACCTCTGAGCCTCAGTTTCCCCCACAGTAGAATAAGGGGCTTGCATTCCATTTCTGGTTTTCTCCTTGCAATAGGATGCCTTTGAGATTTGTCGCTACACCTCAGTTTCCTTATCTGAAAATAGGGATGGTGTCACTCGTCCCGCCTAACTTACAGACTCCTAGCTGCACTCGCATCCCTGAAAACCATGTGAAGAGTCGACAAATGGTTCTGTGGCCCCTGTCAGGACCCCAGAGATGATCCGATCACAGTCCCTGCCTTCTGCCACAGGTAAATGCTTTGAGGCATCATTGGTGTGACCAAAGCCCGGTTCTGTGGCAGCCGTCCGGGCAGGTGGGACAGGTGATCGGTGGGCAATGAGGCATTGCTGGAGCTGATAGCTGCATCTCCCAAGGATGGTCATGACGGCTGCGGGGGGGAAGCAGGAGCCTTGAGATGCCCACGCCCAGAGAGGCTTCTCTAAGGAGGAAGCAGCCACTGTCCTAGCTCACCTGGCCACGGTTCACATCGACCGTGGTGTGTCAGTGGTCCTTCCAGAGGCAGCATGTGGCCCCATGTGGCTATCAGTGACTTCCTCATCAGATGGAAAAACAGAAACTCCTTTCAATCTTAAAAGGGGAGAAAACAGTCCGAGGCCCAGGAGCTGTTGTGGGGACTGATGGACAAGTCCTTGCCTGGCACTTGGGGAAGGGACATAAACAGAAGGTGGTTTATTGTGAGACTGAATTCTTCCCCAGCAAGCCCAGCGGCGGGACAGTGTCCTCCCCACCCCCACGCCCAGCTTGCACCCCCAGGGCCCAGGAAGACTTGTGTGGGGTTCAAGTAGGGCTTAGGTCCTTCCCGCGGACCCCACCAGCACCTGTGAGTCCAGGGCCAGCACTGTCCCCACCTGGAGCTGCCTTCCTGGAGGCCAGGCCCACAGCGGCAGGCCCACGGAGCTGGAGAGGAGAAATCCAAACTCCAGGCCCAGAGCTAAATGTCAAGTCAGATTTTTGACTGGGCCTTGAGGGCAGGGAGGTGTGTGTGGGTGAGTTACAGGAAACTTTATTGGGCCAACTGGAGAAAATGGAATAAGGCCTGTACAATAGATATTACTTCATCAATGTTAAATTTCTTGAGTGTGATAACCAGACTGTGGTTTTGCAGGAGAACATCCTTGTTCTTAGGAAATGCACACGGAAGAAGTGTTTAGGGTTGAATGTCTGCAACTTAGTCTCAAATGGTCCTGCATAATAAAGAGAGATAAAGCCAATGTAGCAAAATGTGAACAATGGCTGAATCAAGGTGAAGGGTATATGAGTGCTCATTATACCATTCTTGCAATTTTTCTGAAGTTTTTAGTTTTCAAAACAAAAAGTTGGAAAAAAAAAAGTTGGTGGGGAAAGGGATTTCTTCCTCTGAAATACTTAAAGAATCAGAAAGCAACAAAGCTGTCTTTTTTTTTTTTGGAAGGTTAAAAAGATACCTGTAATAGCTAGATCAACCCACCTGGGAAAGGACAACTCTACTCACCCCCCCGCCATGTTTCCACCCCCCCTCCATGGCCTGAGAGGGTGGGTTGGAGAGTTTCTGGACACCCAGGGCTTCATTGAGGGGACCCTGGATGTGGTCTGAGGAGGTGGCCCCCAGAGGGGAAGCGTCCTGGACAAGACCTTCCAGAATTGTCTCTCTCCACCCCCACCCCCAGCCTGACTCCTGGAGCTCTGGGGACGGGCTCGTTCCTGCTCTGCTCGGGGGAATGTAGATCAATCTACTTCCGTGGAAGGTAGATTTGGCTATAACTATGACAATCCCAAATGCCCAAACCCTGTGACTCAGCCAGTCCACTTCTAAGAATTCCTCTGCTGATGGGCTTCCACCGGTGCGAAACGACACCCCAACTCTGCAGTCGCCGTAGCCTTGCTTGTAACAGCGAAATGCCACCCAAAGGGAACTGAGCGACAGTACCTCTACAGAACGAATACCACCCAGTCTGGAAAGAGATGCAGAGTTCCACATTATGATGTAAAACAATCTCAAAGATAAGAGTTAAATAAAAAAGCAGGGCTCTGGTGCGGGCTACTTGTTTCCGACTGGAGCGCTACCGCCCCCTAGGGGACGTGTTGTAAATGTCTTAGTTGTCACAAGATTGGGGGCCCCTGGCCTTTGACAGACGGCAGGCCAGGGAGGCTAAATGTCCTTTAAAGTGTAGGACACCCTGACACAACAAAAAATTGTCCCACACGCCACTCAGTTTCCCTTTGTCTTTCTGGCCAACCACATACATTAGAAACACGTTTATAATTATCTTGCCTGGAGGCCAGCTCTATTCCTCGCACAGCTTTTTTTTTTTTTAATGGTTTTAAAATATATTGAATTTCCCAGGAATAAAACTACTATGCAGTCCTACAGGAGATTTGGCTTTGTCTCCATTCGAACTTCATCAAGGATAATTCACCATTCCGGAATCTTTTCTCCATGGCCACCTGGCCCACGTGAGCTGAGCTGCTAACAGGACACTCCGGCACTAAGCCCACATGTGGACATTCTCAGTTCTCCAATGCCAGTGAATCGTGTGCACTTGCAAGCTCCTATTCTCTCGTGGAGTCAAGCCTGATCTTTCACGTACAGAAATGCATATTATTTTATTATAAATTCCTTCCCTTTTATTTTTCCTCTATATTCCACTTTGAACTGTCTATAAATGTCTAAAAACACTGTGCATAGGAAAATTACATTATCTTTGAATTTCTTTCTGAAAATTTGTTAGAGTACAGCACGTATGTGACCAAAAGCAGACTTTGGATCAGAGTCTATTGAGAACCTCAGAAAGGACCATGAGCTTACCAGGCACGGTCCAGTCCCATGTAGTAAC